GCCTCTGGGGCTGGTGGGCCCTCCCGGTGGACCCCCGGACCCTTCCGGTGGTCCCGGTACATTACCGGTGATGCCCGGAACACTTCCGGTGGCCAAATCCTCACTTCCTATATATCAATCTTTACCTACGGACCATTCTGGAACTCCTCGCGACGTCCGGGATCTCATCCGGGACTTCGAACAACATTCAGTAACCGCATATATCTATTCCCTATAACCCTAGCGTCATCGAACCTTAAGTGTGTAGGCCCTACGGGTTCGGGAACCATGTAGACATGACCGAGACGTTCTCCGGTCAATAACCAACAGCGGGTCTGGATACCCATGTTGGCTCCCACATGTTCCACGATGATCTCATTGGATGAACCACGATGTCAAGGATTCAATCAATCCCGTATACAATTCCCTTTTTCTACCGGTATAGTACTTGCCCGAGATTCGATCGTCGGTATCCCGATACCTTGTTCAATCTCGTTATCGGCAAGTCTCTTTACTCGTTCCGTAACACATCATCCCGCGATCAACTCCTTGATCACATTGTGCACATTATGATGATGTCCTACCGAGTGGGCCCAGAGATACCTCTCCGTCACACGAAGTGACAAATCCCAGTCTCGATTCATGCCAACCCAACAGACACTTTCGGAGATACCCATAGTGCGCCCTTATAGCCACCCAGGTACGTTGTGACGTTTGGTACACCCAAAGCATTCCTACGGTATCCGGGAGTTGCACAATCTCATGGTCTAAGGAAAAGATACTTGACATTTAGAAAAACTTTAGCATACGAGCTACACGATCTTGTGCTAGGCTTAGGAATGGGTCTTGTCCATCACATCATTCTCCTAATGATGTGATCCTGTTATCAACGACATCCAATGTCCATGGTCAGGAAACCACAACCATCTATTGATCAACGAGCTAGTCAACTAGAGGCTTACTAGGGACATGGTGTTGTCTATGTATCCACACATGTATCTGAGTTTCCTATCAATACAATTATAGCATGAATAATAGACAATTATCATGAACAAGGAAATACAATAATAACCATTTTATTATTGCCTCTATGGCATATTTCCAACAGTTAAAGGGAGTGTCGTTTGGGAGAAATGGGCCGACGGTTACTCATCTGCTGTTTGCAGACGATAGTGTGGTGTTCCTGGAGGGGTCCCGTGACAATTTTGAGGCATTCCGGGTGATTCTACAGGATTACGAAATAGCTTCGAGGCAGAAGGTCAACTTACAGAAATCTGCTATCTTTTTTGGGAAGGGCTGCTCAGATGAGATAAAACCGGAGGTGCATCAGGTGAGTGGCATTCATGTGGAAGCCTTAGGTGAACGATATCTAGGGCTCCCTATGGTTGTTGGGAAATCAAAGGATGGTACCTTCAAATATGTTAAGGAAAGTGCGAGAGGAAAAGTGTCTAGATGGAAGGGGCAAGGGTTGTCTAAGACTGCAAGGGAGGTGCTGGTTAAGTCAGGACTCCAGTCAACTCCAGCTTTTACCATGAGCTGTTTTCAACTCACAAAGAAAATGTGCGGGAATTTGTCATCTATCTCCTCGAACTTCTGGTGGGGTGAAGCAAATGGTCAAAAGAGAGTGCACTGGATCGCGTGGGATAAAATGTGCAGTAGGAAATGCGAGGGTGGACTGGGTTTTCGTGACCCGAAGGCCTTCAACCAAGCCATACTTGCTAAGGCTGCTTGGAGAATTTTACAGAGACCTGATTCGATGTGCGCACAAGTCCTGAAGGCTCGGTATTTTGTGGAGGGGTCAATCCTTAATGCTACCTGCCCGAACGGTGGCTCCTTTACCTTCAGAAGTATTTTACATGGAAGGGATCTCCTTTTAGATGGACTCATATGGAGAATAGGGGATGGGTCTATGATCAAAGTGCATCATGACAATTGGATACCGAGGAAGGGAAGTCTGAGGCCACTGGGCCAAAGATATATACATGGCATAATGAAAGTATGTGATCTTCTGAATACACAAAAGAAGGCATGGGATCAAAGCAAGGTTTTCTCAATGTTCTCTCCGGATGAGGCAGACGAGATTATGCATATTCTGGTGGGAGGGCCGACCATGCAAGATTTCTTGGCGTGGAATTACACCAAGGATGGTGTATTCACAGTGCGCTCGGCATATCACATGAGGATGGCGCAGAAAAGGCTCTCCGCAGGCAGGCCAGAATCCTCGAACACTGTGGCAGATCACAAAGCGTGGATCATCATGTGGGATATGATAGCACCGGGCAAAGTGAGAACACATATGTGGCGCTTGATCCGGAACGGACTGGCGGTTGGCAACGAGCTCAAGCGGAGAAAGATAAAAGAGGGAGTGGTCTGTGTGGCTTGTGGAAGGGAGGAAACAAATTATCATCGTTGTTGGGCCTATTTTCATTCCAGAATGTTCTTGAACATAATGCACTCAGAGATGTGGGTGCCGGTGGCGATCCCACCGGAATTAGTAAGCCCCCAGAAGGCATTAGCGAGATGGCTCCTGGACTGGTTTGCGGAAGCAACGGATGATGCGAAGGCGGTCATGGTCCAAGGGGTTTATGCAATTTGGCTAGCACAGAACAACGCTAGAGAGGGGCAACGAATTGAAGCTGCGGATGCGATCGCCAGAAGGGTGTTCGCCTTGATGGACGAGTGGCAGTCAATCCATCGGAGGAAGAGCAAGCGAGACAATCCAGCCACTAGGGAGAAATGGTCCACGCGTGATGATGGATGGGTGAAAGCCAATGTGGACGGGGCCATAGCAAAGGTTGGAGAGCTGGGAGGAGTAGGAGTGGTCCTTCGGAATCAGGAAGGTGCGTTCCTGGGAGGCGCCTGCCAGGTGTTTCCTCAGTGCATAGAGCCGGCAAAAGTAGAACTCTATGCTTGCAAAAGAGCAGCCCAACTTGCGGACGAACTAAACATACAAAACCTGCATGTCAAGATGGACTGTCGTGAGATCGTCTGCGAGCTGCAGAGGAAAGAGAAGGATCTGTCGCTGCTGGGACCGATCATCGAAGAGGTGAAGCAATTGTTGGCATCAAGGGAAAGGTGGAGAGTGACCTGGGTTAGACGATCGGCGAATAATGCAGCTCATTTGTTTTTTTTTTTTGAGGGTACGCAAATTGCGTACCTTAGTTTTATAGAAGGAGAGAAATACAGCCATACAACCACATCTACCTCTCGCTGCGAACAACGAGTGTAGCACAACTCCACACTCGACACAAACAAGGACAACCACACACGACTACACACTACGACATACAAGAGCCTACCCAAAACCGAAAGCCTCGCCGCGTCTCGCCCGACGCCGGTGATCACCGAAGAACATCAACTCCAGCTTCCTTGGTAGAGCCAGCGACGACCGTACATAGCGCCAGAGAAGAACAGTCTGGGCAGCGGTGCACGCCGGAGGAGCACAACATAGGGCCTCTTATCTCCCAGCACAAAGCTCCCAACAGAGAAACAGCGTCAGAAGACGCCGCCATTGTGCCAATCCTACGAATCAAGGCTTTCGCCTCGGAGATGGTTGCCGATACAAGGCAACGTGGAAAATGGCGCTACACTCGGCGACGCCTCCAGGAAGGGGAATGACACCCACGGGTGCCATCGACGCTGGTCCGACCAAGGCCGAACAGAGTTTTCATTCGTAGCATTGCACATTTCCACGCCTCCAAGATTCCGGCCAGCCCCGAAAGATGTCTCTCACCGCCAACACCGCAGCCACTTGCAGTCGGAGCCACACATCACTGCCGAGGAAGCACGCCTCAAGCCACCACCTTCAGCACACTAGGAACCGCAGCAACCACCAATCGATGCAGGGACCAGATTCGTCGCGATGGCCTTCACCCGCACCTAGGGACTGCCACACTGATGGATCTGACCCGCACCATCAACCACACTTGGACGCCCACTTCACCGAGGCATCACCGCCGGCACCTCACACGTAGGTGGTCGGGCGCCCGCTGCTCGCCAGGGCCCTGCCTAGCCGAGCCTCACGGCGCCGCCGCCTCCATGGCTGTGCAAGCGCTATCGCCTCCGACGAAATCAGCGCACCACCTACAACCACTCTCCCGCTGCACCCCTCGTGCAGATCCAGGGGAGCGCCGTCGACCATCCCGCCGTGAACCAGCCTCCAGCAGCACCCGACAGGGAGCCATCCGACGCGCCAGATCTGACCTGACCTGGCCGAAGAACAGCAACCCCTCCACACCTCCGGACAAGGCCAGAACCGTCTGTGACGGCCGTCACCTACTCCAAGGGACGGCCTTGCAAGGACTACAGCACCAAGGGCCTAGATCGGACCCGAAACGCCCAGATCTGACCAGCCCCACTGTGGACAGCATCACGCCGGCACTACTAGGAGAGCTCCGCCGCTCACCACACGGCCCACAGGTGGCCGGCCGCTTGCTGCTCGCCAGGAGCACCCGCCTAGCCGAGCCAACGAAGCGCCGCCACCAACCTGGCATGTAGATCGCGCCGCCGCCTCTAGCACGCCGTTGTGCCCGTCCACCACCAGCACATGGCTGCCCTTCTCCGCCAGGTCCACCGCTCCTCCGCGCCTCCTGCCGTGCGCCGGCGACGCCGCGCCACTGCCCACACCGCCACCCGCGCCGCCCATGGGACAACCCGCCTCCGCGCGAAGGGGGACCGTCGAGGTGCGCCGTCCTCGCCCGCCGCCTTTGGCAGCCGGGCATGGCCGCCACCGCCGGCGCCGGCGGCGGCAGCGGCCGGGGGAGGGAGGGGGAGAACGGCCGCTCGCTCGATCTAGGGTTGGGGCCTCCGGAGTCGCTCCCTATGCAGCTCATTTGTTAGCTAGGGATTGTGTGGCAAATAATCTTTGTAAAGTGTGGTTGTCTGAACCACCTGACTGCATTTTGCAGGCTGTAGCAGACGAGATCCCTAGTTGGGAAGCTTAAATAAAGGTCTTACTGAGCTTCAAAAAAAAAAGCTAGCTTATTGGCAAAATAAATAAACAAAATGAAACTAGCAGCTAGCTAGGGAATAAACCAACTAGGCTTAGTTGAGCAGCCGGGAGGACCATCGTCCTTGGGTGATGACTTGTAGACGCATTCCAACTTGTTGTCCTGCACGCTGTAGCAGTAGGCCGCCGTACCGCATTCCGGCTTGTTTTTGTAGCAGCCGGCCGCCGTGCCGCATTCCGACATGTTATCGTAGCAGCAGGCCGCCGTGGAAGAATTCCAGGGCGTGTCATGAACATAGTAGATCCGAGTCCCGCTCCCGTTGGCGCCGTCGTTTTCCCTGAACGTGGCGTGATATCCATCCAGGAACAATTCGTAGTTACCAGCATCGGTCACCTTGCGCCAGGCGAGCTGCCCATCAGGGTCAGAGACCAACTCGAAAATGGTGAAGGCCACCGGCCGGGCCGACTTGACGGTGCTCCTGACCAGAACCAGCCTGCTTGGCAGCGCGACGAGGTGGGCGTAATCGAACTTTTCCATCTCAACGCCGATGCCGTACATCTTGTTGGCAAACATGGTGGTGGCCGGCGGGCGGCCGACCAGCTGCAGGGCGCCGAGTGTGGCAGCGTCGAACACCGACATCTGGTAGTTGTTGTGCTGCATGCCGAACATCTTGCCGTCGTGGTAGGCCAAGTCGAAGTAGCCGTGGCCTATGTTGTTGGGCTCCCCCACCATGGTCCAGGCCGCGTCTCCGGGGCGGCAGAAGAACATGCCCGCCTCCCGGTGCATCATGTGGCACATCATGACCGTCATGCCGGTCGCCGCCGGCGGGCCGGGCGGGAGGTGGACGGCGAAGCGTAAGCAGTCCGTGAAGTCGAGGTAGTTTGTGAACATCCAGCCATTACGGACCGACGTATCCACGTCATTGCAGTCCACGTATCTTGCGTGCCTGACCACGTCGCTGCCCGCGTCGCGGAAGGCGCTGAGCGCGGGCAGCGCCGCCGTGGCGCCCGTGGCCAGGTGCGAGAGGTGGCAGGAGGCGTCGCGGACATGGAACACGATCGACCAGCCGCGCGCCAAGGGGAAGACGAGCCGCGCGGCACGGGGACGAGGGAGCCCTGACGCGGCGCGCCATGCCCGGCACACGGAGCGGAACGCGCTGAGCCCGGTGACGGCGTCGCGGGACCTCCGCGCGATGATCGACAGTAGAATATAGATCGCACGGGAGGTTCAACCAGTCCGGTTGTTCCTCCTGGGCCGCCATTGCCTGTACGCCGATTCAGGCCAAGATCAACGCAGGACACGACGGCCGTTGTGGAATAAGATCGGCCAACACACGGACCAAGTTGGTTAATGTATCAGTGTAGCCCGAACGGATGGTGCGACTGCAATTTCAATTTTAAACAGAACAGACTCTATCGGTCGTATAATTATATAAGTGTAATTCTTTTTTTTTGAGCATCAGTACAGACACAAGCGCTCATATACACGCGCATACACTCATCCCTATGAACGCACACACGCACACCCTACCCCTATGAGCACCTCCAAGAGACTGAGCCGGCATATCATCTTGAGATTTACGAAGCCACCATAGGCGCCTCGTCGTCGATGGGAACGTCTCCTCCCATTGAAAGCGCATCGCCGGAAATCCTGAAATAAATTCAGGAATAATGCGAGCACCAGGATTTGAACCCTGGTGGGTTGGGGATACCACTGTCCACCTAACCAACTCAACCACAGGTTGATTCGCAAGTGTAATTCTTTTTAAGGACTCTTATAAGCTCCAGCTTCGCCCGCCGGTACTTGTTTTTCTCCCCTCATGTGCTTCTGTACTACTCGTCCAAAAAAAATGTATCTAGATGTATTTTAGTTGTAGATACACCCTAAACGACACGTTCGGGAGGGACCCCGTCTGGGCGCGCGGCGGTTATGGGCTACCCTAGGTCGACCTGACCGCCCCTAGGGCCTCGAGATTCGCCGCCCTGCAACAAGAAGAACAGACGAAGAACGAGAAAGAAGAAAAACTAGGGTTAAGGAGAAAAGATAAAAGATAAAAAGTGGTAGATGAATTGATCGATTATGTGTTGTCCAATCGGCCGTCACCCGTTAGGTATATAAGAGGCGGCTGGACTTCCCGTGCAAGGAAAAGGCTTGGATTCACGTCCAAAACCCTAGTCAAATTCGGATTGGTCTTGTCCGAACTTTCCAAAACTATTCGGTTTAAACTGGTTGCACCTTGCGGGTCTTTTTTGTGGTGGTAAACAACCTTGGATGGAAACGAGTCCAAAAGCAATCTTGACCGTTTCGACGATACGAACAACTTTCATGTTGAACAATTTTTGATCAGAGATCATCTTAAGGGTCAAATAGCTCGTGCAAAAGATCTGTTTACTCGCGCTACCAATCAGACATGGCGTCTGGTGGGGCGCGCCATATTTCGCCTCGTGACAGGGTTGCACTCCGATTGCTCTAACTTTTGCATACGATCTTAGATTTGTATAATTTTTATATCAACCGATCGTTTCGACGAGACGAAGATAATCCGTGTAGATTATTTTTTTATTTGTGGTTGTCTTGGGGGCTTAATCGGCCAAACTGTACTCTGAATATAAGATCTTAGTACTTTGAGCATAGTTTCGGCCTTCGAGATGAAATCGGACGGCGATGACCCAAAATTTAAAGATGTACATATCAACAATACAGAACTCTTTCATGAAGATCACTTCTTTATTTGAGACAATCTTAAATAAGTTATTGATGGTGCCAAAATCTGGTGTCAATACATGCCTCCCTGTTTTTCGGCAAAGCTTGTGTGCCAAAAAATAACTTGCACATAGCTTGCTCTAAGGACGATGTCAACACTTCATCGGCCATTTTGCATATGCTTAGGACGATAAGTTTATATCGGTCATTGCTTGTGTGAATATTTCGATGCAACTTTGGGTGAAACTTTCCAACTTCAATAACAATCCGTTGATAAGGTTCCATAGATCAAAACCATCCTTCGAAGCATATTGTTCACCTTTTCGCTAGGATTTTGCAGATAATTAAGAATGAACTTCCTTCAATCCTTACTTCGCCTGCATAAAAGTTTCATTAGTGGCCGAAGCGGTGGGCTTCGGTTCGACCTTACCTATGTTGACAAAACCTAGCATCGGTTATTGATAGAAATACAATACATCATGGTTAACATACTAGCCTGATGTTTGCTGTGCCAACTCTCTCAAATTGTCATGTCTAGATATATGAACAATTTTAAAGCAACCCAAGGTAAATTTTGCATCTAGACATACCTCAAGATAAACTACAAGTGATTCGTCAAAACATTGATAAACCCTAGATATTTGTTGCACTACTCATAACGAATCACCGAAAGCCTCAGTATGTATAGCACCTATAGCAATGCAAAGCTCCGATCCGAATGACAATGCATATTCGGCTTTGATCATTGTGCAAAAATATTTTAAGCGGCATGAGGCTTGTTTTGGTCTCCAATTAAACTAAGTACGATGCATTGACCTAAACTTAGGACGATAGATAAATATCGGCCATTACCATGTAAACTTTATTCAAAGCACATATAGCCGAAATAAACAAATGAAATGACTCAAGTATTTCGGCCCTTTGAATCAGCAACAAACTTGTAGCTAATCAAATGCATAGTGATTTGACAATACCCTTTTATGATGTAAGAAATTATATTGCATCTATGGATTAAAATAAACTCTCATCGTCCATTGACTTGGATGGTTTAGGAGGAAAGAGCATGGGTTTCTGAACCCATGGTTCTCTTTCTTTACCGTGCTTCCTAGCAACAAAATCTCTCTTATCATAACGTTGATTCTTTGACTGTGGGTTATCAAGATCAACAGCAGGTTCAATCTCTACATCATTGTTTTTGCTAGGTTGGGCATCAACATGAACATTATCATTAACATTATCACTAGGTTCATGTTCATCACCTGATTGTGTTTCAATATCAGAAATAGAAATATCATTGGGATTCTCAAGTGTGTCTACAGTAGGTTCACTAGAAGCATGCAAAGTTCTATCGTTTTTCTTTTTCTTCTTTTTAGAAGAACTAGGTGCCTCTAAATTATTTCTCTGAGAATCTTGCTCGATTCTCTTAGGGTGGCCTTCAGGATACAAAGGTTCCTGTGTCATTCTATCAGTTCTAGTAGCCACTCTAACAGCAAAGTCATTTTTATTGTTCAATTCATCAAGCAAATCATTTTGAGCTTTCAGTACTTGCTCAACTTGAGTAGCAACCATAGAATCATATTTGCTAACGCGGTGAACTTCATCTTTAACTCTAGCCAGATTATCACCTATGCGTCCTATCTCGAAAACATTATTCTTTAACTCTCTACCAACATAAGCATTAAAACTTTCTTGTCTAGCCATAAAGTCATTAAATTCATCTAAGCATGGGCTATAAAATTTAGTAGAGGGTATTTCAACTTTATCATGTCTATAGAGAGAATTTACCTTTACTACCTGTGTCGGGTTATCAAGACAATGTGGTTCTTCAGGCGGTAAATTAAGACCATGTATTTCTTCAATAGGAGGTAGATTCTTAACATCTTCAGCTTTAATACCTTTTTCTTTCATTGATTTCTTTGCCTCTTGCATATCTTCAGGACTGAGAAATAAAACACCTCTCTTCTTCGGAGTGGGTTTAGGAATAGGCTCAGGAGTTGGCTCAATTGGTTCAGGAATTACTTCAGGAACTGGCTCGGGGAGAGTCCAATTATTTTCATTAGTCAACATATTATTCAATAGTATTTCAGCTTCGTCGACTGTTCTTTCCCTGAAAACACAACCAGCACAACCATCCAAGTAGTCCTTGAAAGCATCGGTTAGTCCATTATAAAAGATATCAAGTATTTCATTTTTCTCAAGAGGATGATCAGGCAAAGCATTAAGTAACCGGAGAAGCCTCCCCCAAGCTTGTGGGAGACTCTCTTCCTTGATTTGCACAAAATTATATATTTCCCGCAAGGCAGCTTACTTGATGACGAATTTCATGGCATAGGCGTTAATGGCATAGTTGAAGAATATGGATAATGTGTAGACTGAAGATGTTGAAACCTTCGGCTTGGTCCTTCATAGTTTTCACTATTTTTCTTCTTCATCTTCGCCACACTTCTTGTAATGGAAGCTTGCACATAATTATTATTTTGAGTACTTCCTTTGGAAACCCATGCCATGTTCCTTTCTCCAAGTTCTTGTGCACTAAGCTTTTGTAACTCCTTCTTTTGCCAATACGATAAGCCGAGTGAGCACCTCGACTGTGATTTTGTTTCAACCAATGGTAACTCTTTTTGGGCCTTGTGCACCCTCAACTTCTTTTCTTCAGATTTGGCACTCTGATTTTTATCAATTGATTATTTCACTTCTTTGCCTTTTGTAGCCAATGTCAACAGATTAATTGGCTCTTTGTTATTTGAGATCAAATCTGAAGTAGCACACTTACGACCATCTCTTTTCACGCGGTAAACTTGCTTTACTACCTGTTTCTTCTTCCTTGAGCTCTGGACCGATTCCTTATGATTGAAACGGTCTTTGAAGCATGATTGTTCAAATGTTGATCTTTTTGGAGCTGCATAGTATTGGTGAGATGGTCTAGAATAAGATGGAGAATGTGCCATTATATCATACCTGTCCCATGATGAATATGTATCTATATGAGCATAGGGAGGCATCCACGGCATTGACATTGGCGGCCCAAAATAAGGACATGAATATGTTGCATTAAAATTATCACTTTGCCAATACCGATCCTCATATTTGCGTCTTGGGGGTGACCTTGGTTTCTTTGCATGATTTGGCCGATAAGCATTCTTCTCTTCATTCTTCTTTTGATATTTATCCAATAGTTACAAATCAAATGTTTCATTTCATCCGGAAAAAGCCACCGCGAAGGTGATTTTTGATCTCTTACACTTGCGCTTAATTCGGCCTTTGTTTTCTTTTGGTTTGCTTTTATCGATCATTGGATTTGCTTGCTGCCCCCAGTCCTTGGCGTCTCCATTGTAGCTTTGATGGATTCTTGCCATCAAGATTATGTTCATTATACTCTTCAACAACTTATTTACTTGAAAGCTTGAGCCCATCACCTGTAGTTTTTACCTTCTCTTCAAATGGATCGACTTGAAGCAGCCGATGCAAAAACTTTCTGCCATCGGGACCAATCAAAATAGACTGGTCATCTCTTCGTGTCTCAACAAATTTCAATCGTCCTTTATCAATGGCTGATTT